CTGGGTGCAGCTTCCCCCAGCCCCTCCACACCCTCGCAGACACTCCTGGTTCTCCCAGACTCGCTGGGGACAGGGTGCGTTTCCAGTGTTTTTTCACGAAAGGAAGAGGGAAGCTCGCAAGCCATGAAATAACCCAAATAACCCCCAGCGAGAAGGGAAACAGGGCAAATGACCAAGGTGGGCCTCTCGATGTGTTTCTACGGGCGGAAAAGACGAAGTGGAAATTCATCCGAAGTCGTAGGCGAGAAAATGACAAAATTCAGGGGACTCCGAAGAGGGCATGAAAGGAAGGCAAAAATAAAGTCTGGGGTCTCTACGGCCTGGACGCCAGACTAGAGTTCGGATTCTGGCTCTGCACCAGCTCGCTCGATGAGCAGGGGCGGGGCGTCTACCTCTCCAAGCCACGGCTTCCTGACAGCTGGGGACCATCACCCCGGCCCTTCCCAACACCCAGCACGGGGAGGATGACGATGCTGTCCTAAGTCCCAGGGACATAAGGGCCATTTTCCTTCTCTCACGCCCTTCCCTTTTCCCAAAAAGCTGGTGAGGAAAAACATCAGACAGTTAACTCCTTATTCAATACAGTGAAATAGTACACATTTAGAGACTGAATAACTTTAAAAGCATCGATGAAACCTTTCATTTTTTTTTTTTTTTTTTAATTCACATGGCAGCTTCTAGCCACTCTGAGGCTTTCTGTACTAAAATAATATATATTCTCAATAGAATCAGCTCCTTCTGAGGAAATCCCAGCTCAGGCCACTGGATATAAGCCATTCTATTCCTTGATTCCTAAGAAGCAAGGTTAGGCATGATAAATTGCAGAGCAGGTCATGCCAGTAAACCAGACATCTATCTGGGTAATGAAAACATTTATTTTTGTACGTATCCGGGACCTCTGCCCACATTTAGCATCAATATAATCCACCTTCTCCAGGCCTCACCAACTCAGAGCGAACCAATGTGGGGATTGCGAGCCCACTCCCCCCTTCCCTGAGCATGATCGGGGGCAGCCCGGACCCCGGAGTTCTTGAGTGTCGGGGTCACCGAGACCTATTGTTTGTTGTGGTCTCATTGCTCAGCATATAAGAGACACTCAGTAAAAGCCAGCTGAATTGATTCATATTCCAAGTCGGAAAGGAATGAGACCTCTGGCTTCGGCAGCCCCCGGCCTGACACGTGGCACTGGCTCTGAGCGTCAGGGCTAAGCGGTTGGGGTGAGTGGCACGTTCCCAGGTCCAGTCAGCTGGAGCCTTGACCCATGACAATCCATTCTTAGAAACGGCAACAGGAAGGTCACAAATAACAGCATCTGCGCTCCTCTCCCACGGGCTTCCCCCGAGAATGTCACAGGAGAAAAGAAAAAAAACGTCTCCTCCTTCACGGAGCAACTGCTATGTGCCGGGAATAAGGAAACAGATACAAACAAGGTACCAAAAAAGGACCCTCGACGTTCTGGCCCACGTGATCTGACCTCCAGAGGGTGACCTCCTTAGGGTCAGGAGGTTACTATTTCAAATCATTCTGGGACCCCTGGAACACCCATCTCATGTACCCCACAACCCGTCCCTTGATATACTGCAATCGAGTCATCGTATGACTTCGAAGCTATTCATTCCTGAGTGTCTCGTATAAACACTGACTCAAAAATCTGGGGGCACAAGGCTGCATGTCAGCATTCTACGTGGCCTCGGACAGGTTCCCCACAGGAGACAGACACTACAGAGAAACTCGATATCGCTATGTCAAACGAGGTATAAAGCAGACGAGCGTACTCACCAAGGCGCCCACAGAGCACCTGGGACTGTCTGGAGCACAAGCTGCCCACTGAGCCAGAGGGTGTTGTGACAACTGGGCAGACAGCTAGGAGTTTCAAAAAGCACAGTCATTAGCTATTTTACTGATGAGATGCCTTGCACAGAGCTATACAAAGATCCAAAGTAGCAGAGGGACTCAGCGAATCTACTTATCATTCCCCCAGAAATCTAAGGTCTCTGCTCCTCGGGGCCAGGGGATAACACCCTAAAAACCTATGGGGGACCCTGGATCTTCTGGGTCCCAGATCTTCTGTCATCCCTTAACCAGCCATCAGGCTCCTGAATCCAGTTTTCCCTTTAATGCGCTCTAGTGTTAAAATAACTGGACAATTTGTAACAATCTGTAAAAATGTTAAAATAAATACGTTGACTTCTATTAGAGATGAGTAGGGAAGGCCTTGACCTCTTTTGACGAAAGGCAGCCTACCTATTAAGAATAAAACTCCTTTTTTCATTTGGTTGGCCTGGATTTCAGTTTTCCTAAAGCTACCTGTCACCAGTTCTCACCCGCACATGAAAACTCCTTCTCGAATGAGTCGAAAATGCAAGTGTCTATTGGTCTGGGGTTCCTTAGCTACGGTTGAAACATCTAGGGCTCCCTGGGATGTGTTGAACATATCCTCCATGACAGTTAAAACACCCTGAAATTTTGAACTTCGCTTTCTTTAAAGTAACAGCACCTAGATCTTGAATATTGCCCACGGTATTCTTATTCAAAGGACATCGAAAGTTGAAAAGCAAGCATTGCTAAGCGTTCAAAGGCTAGCCTATCTGTGGTAGACTCAATCGTACACATAGGATTTTTGCACGAGAAGATGTAGCTGAAACCCTTGCTCTGTCATTGGTTTGCTGTGAACCTTCAGAAAAGTCCCTTGATTTACACAGGCCTCTGTTTCTACAAGATGAAGCAGACCTAATGCTGCCCCCGAAGGTTTTCATAAGATTGAAATGAGATGATGTCGTTTAAAAAGACTGACAGATAAAAGGTAATCAAGTACTGTAGTAACATCAGTTACGTAACGTATTGGACAGACAGATCTCGAACTGCCTTCCACGGGTTTACAATCCATACACCTTTCATTCACTTAGGTCGCATCTTCTAGAAGCATCGCCGTTACTATTCAGACCTGACCTGGCTTGAAAATTTCTTTTGACAAACAACGACGAACGGCCTTATGGATTCCTCTCTCATTTTTTTCCATTCGCGCCATTTTATCTCTCAATTTTCAAATAGATAGGGAAGATTTTTTTCCATACCCTATAGCTTACATCGCCAACACTGAGCTCGCTAATGAGACCCCGGTGACAAATGTTCAAACTTGTGTGGCTTACGCCTCCCAGTCGGAACCCTCTCGAACTGAGACGTGGGAGAGTGGATGGCCCGCAGAGCAGGGAAGGGCCCACACCCGCCTTTCTGAGACATGCTGCTATCATGTTGCCACCATATGCTGTTACCAGCTGACATCTGCTCACATATGTTCTCACCAATAAGCAACCATGTTGTTTATTTTCAGAGCTTTCTCCACCGTCTTAAAGGGAGAAAATTCCCTCAGATAACCAGTCGGCAAAGACAGGAAGCTACACTGGGCATAAACGGTTTGTCCCGAGATTAGCGAGTCAAACCGTCTTCTCGCTCATATCTGACCTCTGAAAGGAGATGCTGTAAGTTATCTTCAGGAGGGAAAAAAAAAAAAAAAAATCGAAGACTATCACCAGAGAAAGGCAGAGCGGCACACGGCAGAAGTCCCCTGGTTAGCAACGCTTTGTCTTCAAGCTGTGGCCCTCTGCGTTTCTTTGGGGGGGATTTACATCCTTTTCCTGGGGAACAGCACCTTCTTCAGGCCGGTGGGTGTCGTGTAGAAGAGGGACAGTTCTGTCAACAGGATCCAGATCCTTGAACTTTGCCCCAGGTCACCGAGCTCACCCAGGTCAAAGCAAGTCTGTGCAGGCGTGAGGGGAGGTGACGGCTGTCACGGGCAGCTCCCCACAAGCAGCCCTCAAGTGTGAGCCTTTGGCTGTGTTTTCACGCTGCGGCAGAGCTGCAGGACAGGAACCCTGTCTTTCCCTTCCTTCCGGTCTGTCGTTGTTGTTTGTTTATTTGTTTTTAAGCCGGGCCCGTGGACAGGATGCACTGGTGCTGATCCAGTGCCTCAGAAGTGAAAACCGTGAATCGGATGCAGATATAAGTGATGCTGAGAGTGATCATTTAAGTCAAAGAAAGCTACTCTTCAGTTTTTTTTTTTTTTTAATCTATTTTCAATAATCTTTATGATTGAAGTGGCCTGATGGTATGGATACGCTTTGTCAGGTCAATGAGGCTTCGGGTATACGTGAAATGCTTTTTAAAATGCAAAACCCTAGGGAAAATGTAAGGCGTTAATAGTCTTAGAGAAATAACACTCTCTAGCAGTACTCGGGCGCTCACCAATGCTTCATGGAAGACTATGGCTCGTTTAAGTCATAAGACAGAAACAGGATTGGAATTAAAATTGTGCATGGGCAATTTACAAAGTAACTGAAAGTCCAAGCTAACTACAAAAATGTTAGGGTTCACTTCCGCCTGTGATGACACAGCTAAGAAATAAAGCAATACAACAAAAATGCGCACTGTTTTCAGAGTGCGATTCTGAACTACCTGCCTGAGAATCGATCGCCTGGACGTCTTGTCAAGATGTGGGTTTCCGGAGCCCCCCTGAAAACAACCGGATCATGATCTGGACGCAGGGGAGAGGGCAGGAGTTTGGGAATCTGCGTGTACGATACGCACTGCAGGTGATCCTTCTGCTTGGTAAAATTCGAGACTTACAAAGGCCTTTTACGAAATCTCATCCGACCTCAAAACGGCCCAGCCAAGTGGAGCAAGAAAAAATGACCCCCTCACAAGGGTTATTTGTTCCCGTAAGCAGTGGTTTTGTGCAGTGTGAAAGCGTCTCTGAGGAAGAGATAAAGCCATTCTTGCTGCATTGGTATCTTAAGCAGAATTAAACGTTGTTAAGAATGCTCCCTAACCTCCACGACAAATTAATTCCCTCGCTCAGCCCCTCCCAAACCCTCACACAAACGTCGCTTGTGATGACAGCTGCTCCCTAAGCGGGTCCTAGCGCTTCTTCCCACCACTAGACTGCAATGAATTTTTACTCTGCTTCGAGAATTCTCAGCAAATTCTGAAAAGGGGCAAACGGCTGATCCCAAATGTACAATGACTCGGGGTCGGCTTGGCTCAAGACCCTCCTTCTAGAATCTGCGTCCTACTGCCAAAAAAAAACTAATGAATTCAGACATGACTCTATAGACACAGTTTTCCTACTGATGGTGATCTTTTCTGACAGCGGAATTCTTCTGAAATCTCTCTCTGTCTCTCTAAGACACACTAGCACAAGTCGCCTCATTCTGTGGAAGAGAAAAGGCACAAGATCGGGGGTGAAACAGTGGCCGCTGAGGACTTTGTCCTTAGGCCTGACCAGTCGGTGACTTCCGTTAACACACTTAACCACCTCAGGCTTAATCCTATGAGTAGCTACAAGCGAATGACTAAAGTAGTGATCAAATCGACGTGACTTTTTAACAGACCTATCTAAGGGCACGAGGGCTGCGTTCGAGCCTGAGGTGGTAGCCATAACTCAGCTTTGGTTCTACCTGGCTACTGTGGGGTAAAAGTCAGGTGTTCTTCCATCTCTGATTTCCCCTCCTTAATTCCCAAAGCCCCAACCGCCAAGCACTGGGCTTGCATGTGGAAACACCTCCCCACAGAAAACCGGGAGAGACCGCCAAGGACACAGTCCCTTCCCCCAACCACCCATATGCCTTGGTCTGTGACTATTATTACAGTGGAATCAAAATAAGTCAGTCACCTTTTCTGGGCTTTCCAAGCAACTTAATTATAAAGAGTTTATGATAAAGAAACACAGCTTCGATGGTAAAGTCATCTGAGATGTCAAAGCGGAAGAGAAAATGAGATTAAGTCAAGGGAATAAATGACCAAATGAGAATAAAGCCACAATGGAAGGGAGGGCAGACCTGCTGCTGCTCGTGGCGTAGAGCGAATGATCCCTCGTGGATTTGGTCTCAGAAGCATTTATCGAATTACTAAACAACACTGAAATGAACCAAACCCTTAAACACTAAGTCGTACTTCCCAGACAATCCCCATTTATGTTTTGGCAACGATGAATGGTCTAGTGCTCTTAAAACGCATCAGTAAACGCCGCCTTCTCTTTTAGATAGTGTTTCCTCAGAGATGTGCAAAGACCAGTGGACCTGTGGTCATTTCAGTGTCTTCCTCCAAAAACAAGCTCTGCCTTCTCGTTCGCGAGATGAAGTGACAAATAAGGATGCTTACGAGCTAGTTATTTGTGAACCAGCTCGTCAAGACAGATGTGGGATTTGTCAGCGTGATGTGGGTTAGGTAGGAAAAGCCAAAACGAACAGAGCCAACGTCTAAGTCCCAACATTTTTCTCTTTCTTTCGTAAGCCTGGAAAGATGCTACGGTATTTCCTGAAACAAACAACCTCTCCCAGAAAAGAAGTCTTATGCTCGAACAGCTGCTCCGTGAACCTTCCTTTGGAAACACAGTGTCTCTTCTAAGGAATGGCCTGCCTCGCAGCCACCGACACACAGGCCGCAGGGACGGCCCGATGGGGGAGTGACCGCTCCCCCTGTGAACGGGGGGACATGTGGGACACGCTGGGGTGAGAACAAACAGCTGCCGGCGGAGGCTGGAGACGCATTCGAACTATTTTCAGAAGGTCTGGGCTCTGCCATATCCAGGAAGCTTTTTCCATTCGCCTGAAGCTCCTCCCGTCTCGTGGTTAAAGGGACATCTAGGTCCCCGCTCCGGCTGGCTGGGCAGGACCGAATCCGCGTGCTCCTGAGAGAGCGAAGGGAAGGCCTTGGTCCCCGAAGAAGACCAGGCAGCACCGTGGGGCTCCCCTGCCCTCCTCCTAACAGACGCTGAATCCCAGCACCTCAGCCCCTCTCAGACAGCATCGTGTCCTCACACCAGCGACGTGGTTTACTGGTCCAAGCAGGCCCGGAGCGACCTCGCG